TTTTTTTTTTTTTTTGACTCAAATTACGATTTCGTTTGGACCTATTAATTTCATATTAGAAAAATGAACGAAGAAAGTAAGCTGTTTCAATCATACATATGAAACTTAAACGATAATACAATTTTATCCAAGTAAAATCAATTAGACAGTGATGTGGTCATTTTCGTTGTTTTCCTTGATTCACGATTTGGTTTGAACTCATTAATTTTATATTCAAAAAGTAAATAGAGAAAATAAACAGCCTGTGTCGTTTCAATTATATACATGTAACTTAAATCAAACAAACCATTTTATCCAAATAAAATCAATTAGATACTAATATAGTCGTTTTCTTTGATTCAATCGCATGATCACATATATACATAACTTAAATGATAATACAATTTTATCCAAATAAAATCAATTACATAATAACGTGGCACCATTCAAAGTAAGACAAGCTGCTCCAAAGTTATACAACTAACGCTTCAGTATTGTATACCTAATTAAAACCTTGAACTTTAGTTTCCAGATCACCAGCGGAACGCGCTACATTTTCCGTTCACAGAACTGTCACCGGCCATGAATTATACATTGCTTGACAATACGCACACACATAAATCCGCTTATACAGAAACAGTGCAACGCAACTAGTGCTGTCTATTTCTGCTCTGCGAATACCTCGACGTGATCTTGCAAACGCCCTATTTTGTCATCGATACGATTATCTCGGAGATAATAAAGACGTATAGCTCTCGCTGTACAATGCAACACGTACCGAACGCTTCTCTGAACCAGAATTCAATCTTTGCGTCGTGATTTTGTCCTCCCGCGCGACAGTTCTTTAAAAGATTGCGAAAGATCCGCACACGCGTCATTCGCGGCAACTTCGAGTTTCTAAACCAGTTACGTTCTCGGTTGGTTGCCGCGGAACTTCACGGAAACTCCGCAATTCGGAGCAGAGGGCGCGCTCTCCGCAAAAATGTCGTAACTCGACAAACCCCTGCGACGAGCAACTGAAACGCAACGCAGCTCGAAACACCAGGGGGGACTGGCGTGTAATAGCGAAAAGTTTACGTATAAAAGCTTCCCGATGGCTCGATTGTACTTCAATAGTTTATTTATAACGAACTTCTACGAGAAAGAATTTATTGCTTTTTTTTTTTGTTTTCGTTCTGCGAATCGCGTTTACTCTAATTTTCGAGATGAAGGATTGTTCGACCAATGTCAAATTTGCAACTTCATTTCGATCGATTTTGTATGTTGAATATATATAATTTGACATATATATAATCACGAATTTATTGTTTTCATTAGTAACTAAGTTATTTGAGAAGTAGCTTGGATCCAGATCGAATGAATCTGTTGCAAACAATTTTTAATTATAATTCATTGCGATAGAATAACAAATAATCTAGAAGGTGAAGTTTATAAAACAGGTATAGAATTATAGATAGAATTTAAAAAAATTATTTAAAGAAATTAGATACAAAATACAAAATGAAGTGAGAAATTATTTTATTTGATAGCCAAAGAATTAAATAGTTCAGGGGAGAATCTTTTGCTTGTTCAAATAAACTAACGTAGAATTATTTCAAGACAACATAAGAGTCAAATAAGATGATATGTATATTTCATCAATCATTTTCCAAATGTTTTCTTCACCCAATACTTATATATTACATTATATTATTAAGATTTTCGATACAATTACAAAAATTTTTACTTGTGTCTTGTTCCTCAACTTTCGTAAAAGACATAACACTAATATTCGTGGAAAAATTTTCTATCTTCAATTATCACATACCTGTGAATAATTTTGGGACTTCAAATATTCGACGAAAGAAAAGTTCGCTCGCACCTACGTAGAAACAGAGAATACATTATTTACGTCAATTTTGATTATCATGCCTGCGGGAATTAATTGTTAAATTTTATGCAATACACATAACACTGAAATTCAGAAAAATGTTCTCTACATAACATAGATTTCATGCAATTAAGTGTTCAAACGAAACTCAACAATATATTCATCCTAATGAGCGTTCAAACACTTTTTCTGTGAATCTGCACGCGACTTGACGTGATGTCGATGATCAGAACGACAACTTTGTCTCTGTACGTATAAATTTTTCGCAGTAATTCCGTGAATACGAGCTTAACAATATAACGGATGCCACGTCTGAAACGCAACAATGCAGCCAGAGGAATATTCTGCAATTGTAGATGCACCCTAATCTATGTACAAACCTCTCGGCAAGGATCAAACAATGGGTGCAGAGTATCTGTCCAGATGGACGGAAGATGTAAACGTTAGCCATAAGCGTAATCCTAATGGGTCCCCGCGGTTCGTGTTCATACGGCCATAATCCTTCTGCTGTATTATCAATTTGCACATTTACCGAAATTGTCGCTCACTCGGAATTGACCAGGAAAATTTGTTAAAGCTTGTTAAAACGTTTCATTTCTATCTACTTTTCAATTCAATTCAAATCCTCCGTGCGATAGTAGTGCAAGTATACTTTTGCAAACATACGTGCGGATATTTGAAGAATAAACTGCTCTTGGAATGAGAATTTTTTACATTGTTTCGACTTCGTATTTTCTTGCATATTATTTTAATCAGTGAACTCAAGATGATTCATTTAATCTAGATCTAAACTTACTTGCAATACATTCTTGTATAAAAAAAAAAAAAAATTGTGCTTAAGACACGTACGTCTTGTAGCGCGTAGCCACTTGATGAGAGTGAGTGATAGATTCAAGTGTTTCAAGCGATCATGTCATAATCGCACGTTCTAACAATGCGATATTTCATGTCTTTCGCCATGAACTTTCCACTTTTCGAGATGAAACCCCCGAGATAGGAATGTTAAAAATTGCTTCGGTACGGTGAATATGACGTTAACTGAAATAGTTCTGCGAATGAATTCACGCGTGGTGCAATTAAACGACTCGCTCTGTAAATCGAGCGTGCAAAAGCACAGGATGGAACTAGGATGGGAGCATAATTACGATGAACAATATTTACGACGTTGGCTCCTCGATGTGGAATACGCACCATCTCGCATCTTGCTTCCGCCGATATCTTTATTTGAAATCACTGGACCAAAATATCGCAGCGAACAGCCAGCCTGATTGTTTCCATGCAGGTTGTACGTATAACGTCTACTGCTCGTACAAAGGATACAATGCCAACGGCACGAGGTTACGTATTATTATTTTACCGTTCCCTACACTTTGGTCTCGAATCCGAGCCAGCGTTATTCCTTCGGCAATGGAAACTCACGTACGTTCGCGGATTAACGTTATTCGCGCGAGTGAGTGCATTTCCTGTCGTTAAATTCGAGAGAAGTATATTACGCTTGAGAAACGAACGAAAATTATAAATCGGTTAATAATTAAGTAGAAATCGTCAAATTCGCAGTGCAATAATATTAACGAAAAAGTTCAATTAAATTTGTCTATTCTAGAAAATTGTTGGTAGAATGTGGATTTTATATGTGCAATGATGATTGAACAAATTGTATAATTCGCATAATTTGATATAATTTCATTAATTCATACTAATTGATTTCTATACTACAATAATATTTCTTGGAAATTAATGGAAAAGTTCAATGGAATTGAATTTTTATTCTAGGAAATTATTCATATGGATTTTCACATCAGTTAAATTATTATAACTATGGATTCTTATGGAACAACGCAGGTATTATGCAGGAAAATAAAATATACAAGGCAGGATATGCTTGTTGCAATATTTACTAACAAAAGCAAATTTCTACCTAGGTTGTACCACATAATCGTCAAATCAATAAACTCAGTTTTATTATACTTTGTAATTCTCGCGAATGTGTTTCGTGCCACAGGATTCGAAGGAATTTCACATGCTAAAGGCTCACGAGTTTAATCACCACAGCACGAACGAAACCGGTTAAGTACAGATGATTTCGAGAACTTGTTTAACTACTCGTGTGGTATTAGACTCTTATCATTGCCATTTAACACGTTAAAATGGCACGTCCGGAATTCTCCAGTCATAAGGAACTCAAATATTTGCCAATTCTATGTGCAAAGTTGGCTCAACGGGTAATTCCGTTCAATGGGCCTCGGTGCCACTATGTTTGTAAAGTAAAATATGTGAATGTTTATCGTGTTGAATCAGCTCGATTAAACTCCAACGGTATGCAAATAAGATTTGAACGATCTTCAATTCGGCGCGCAAGTGCAGTTACAATTTGCATTTCCTCCACCGGCAATACTCGGCTTAATAATCATAATTTCCGATATCCTTTGCTCTGATTCGATTTACATTTGCCGGGAACATCTCGTTGTCGAACACAATAGATTTTTGTTCTTTCAGAAAAATAATTGTTCTTTGATTAAAAAGAATAATCAAATCGAATCAATTTAGTAAAGAATTATCAGAATCGAGCGTGTTCTTCGACTGAGGATGCAACGACTATTTTAATTATTATTTTTGTGAAATTATCATTTTGAAAAAGAAGACTATCATAGTGGAGTATTGAAATACTTAACACCGTATGATTTTACTGTGAAATTTTAAATTTCATTATATATTCGATTTTGCTCCCGACTTTGACTAAAATAATGAATATTATGAATTGAAGATTTTATGTTAAATAAAATGTTTAAAAATCTTCGATTCTCTGCTCGGTAGTTTTGGTCAATACTGTTAGTTGCATACGAAGTATATTCTATGTATATGTATTTGTACGTGTGAATTAAAAAATGTTTTCACAGAGTGAGAAAGCACATCTGTGGAGAAACAATCTAGCGTGGAAACGATGCTTTGTATCGAGCCCGACATTTTTCGATAGAGGCTGAGATAGAGAAGTA